ATAACAGACTATTTTTGCTATTAGTTAGTCAGCTAACATGAGTGGTTAAGGCCCTAAATTTCAACTTTGCCGCTGTTGTAAACAGGGTAGAAAAGTTGTTCCGCAGGGAATTCCTCATTCTCCATTTGTATTTTTAAATATATATTATATAGTGTGTGTAAAAAAAAAAAGTCAGTAACCATACTGAATACTAAAGTTAGGAAGCATGTACAGTCTTTACTTCTCTATAGCAGCTGTATGCATTAGCTTTATATCTATTTATCTTTTATATTTAAGTGGTACCTAGAGGCCTTTATCTGTTATGTCATCAATTTGATAGGAGCACTCACTATTCATTCTGAAGTTCGCTGTTTTCTGTACATTGCACAAGATAGACTGTGATCGAGGCAGAATGCTACTGAAAGGAAAAAAAAAAAGATGTTCTTTCCTGTCTAGTCATGGGACTGAGAGAGCTGGTTCTCCCTTTTTCTCTGCCACAGTCACAGTTCTCATGGTCAAGACTAACAATGCATGCACAGAAAGGCAGCGTGATGCTAACCCTCCAGGAGATTAACTTTTGGATTTTTAACTTTAGATTATTTGGTGTAGAGTTTTAACTTTAGATTACTTTTATCGGATCCGCAGTTGATTGTATCAAGCCTGTAACTGTTTATGCAATTCATAGATCAGAAAATCTGTTAACTAGAATTATTAACTGAGTTTTGAATTAAGAACTGTGAGTTCCTTACTTGCCTAGAATGGGTATGTTAAAAGAGGCTGGAGATGTCAGCAAAACAAAGCTATTTTAATGCACTTGATAGTAGACGACCATATGCTTAATGTCTTTTGGAAGATGTGTATTACAAGAATAGTTATGCTTTTTGCATGCACACAAATTTAAATTTACGTTATTCTTTAAAAGACACTATGCTTTATTTCAGAGAAGCAAAGGTGAGAAGTGGGGTTGAAAGGAAGGAAGAGAGGAGATAAATTCTGAAGCCACCCTAGAGAGAACAAAAAGTTAATAGTCAAGTAGAAGTGTGTATTAGCACCCTTGTGTCTTGGTTAGCCCACTGAAGTCGGTGGAAATACTTTCCAGTTTCTTGAGTAACATCTTGAGTCTGTGCTATCTGGGCAGCTGCTGCACTGGAAGAAGCAAAATGAGTGTCGTGGCTTTATGTCCTCCTTTTTCTAAATACGTGCTCTCCTGTTAGTTATCCCGTTGGGCATTCTGCAGCCTTCAAGGTTCTGGGCCCAAGTTGGCCAACTTCAGGAGACGTGCGTTTGAGGGAGCGCAGGAGCACACCCAAAGGCTGCATTGTGGTGACAGATCGCGTGGACAAGACTGAAACTGAGAGCTCATGTGTGTGGCAGGTCGGAGGCTTTGGCCGTTCTCCTTGTGTCTTTGATTTTTGCAACATCTTTCTGTTAATGGCAGCACCAGAACCATCAGCCTGGCCTCCTGAAATGCTGACGCATCTGTCTGTCTCCTCTTTCGATTGCTTCTGTTCACTAGTTTTAAATTCCATCAGCTGGTGGGAAGGCATCTGAACAAGGTAGCGTCACGTAAGACACCAGAGTATCCATAGGGGAGAAAAGCCTCATAAACACTCCAAGCAAGTAAAAGCTTCAGAGTTCACAAGAAGATGATTCAATTCTGGAAGCAGTCACACTATTTTCATTCCACCGTTCATTTAACTATGGAACAGGATGATGGAGACAATTACTGGAGTGTACGTTGTTTGAAAAGCTTTATTCTGCAATAGCATACATTCAGTAGTATGTTTCATGAAAATTTCTTCAGCGACAGTCTTAGTCCAGAAACCTCTAATAGAGCTTTTATTTGCAAAAATCTGTTTAAGATAAATGGCTTATAATAAGCTAAACTATCCTGTCCCCAAAACCTGTTAAGTCACAAAAAAGAACCCAGCAATTTTGAGTCATATTTAGCTATGATCACTTTTTCAGACCATCTGCAGAAGAAGCCTGCTTGTTCCAAAGTGTATGTTACCCTTCTAGAGCATTAAGGACAGCAAATAGTTTTCCTTTTTTTTTTTTTTTTTTGGAGTGTATCTAGTTAGGATTTTTTATTATGTCTCCGTCAGCGTTTCACCGAGAGTGAGGCTTGCACGAGCCACAGAGGCGGGGGGGGGGGGGGGGTGGTGGGGAGAGAGAAGCCTTATTCAGTAGAGTACAGCAAGACGGAGTGCTCCACACTTCTGGCCTGAAGGAAGGATGCTGCCTTATAAAAGGAAAAGCTTGCCCCAGTTTATTGTATTAAATTATTACCTACAGATCATTTTGTCTGGATAACTTTTGCAGCATTTATTTTCATCTCTGTCCCAGCCATTAGAAATTTGATTTGTCAAAGATATTTGTAAACTGCAGTAACTTCTTGACTGCGTGATCAGTGCTAAAGACCTTGAAAAATTGGCAGAAGTTTTCACCCTGTGAAAACATTAAGATCAATAAAGCAAATTGATAAATACCATTTCACAGAATATAGGCTCTCAGATGAAATGCTCTAACACATAGCAGTAACAGATCATTCCAGGTACGGAACATCATACTGTAAAAGCCATACAGTTAATGCTGTAAGAGGAAGGATTATATGAAATGTGATTGATTCTTACACCTCATGTCTTAAAAAGTAGCTTCAGTTATGTGGGGTTCTTGAGTAACTAAAGTAAGAGGTTACCAGGAAAAGTCAACCCTTAAATTGCAGACAAAGAGCTTCTACCACCAGTAGTATTACATCATCAAAATATTTCACAGACACTCAGAAATAAGCTGTACTTCTGTATGTCAGTGAAGCAGCAAATTGAATTCTCATAATATGTTTTGAAAATGAGTCTTGTTAGATTTGATGAGGTGGAAAAGGTACTGAGATCACTGGTTTGTTCCAATACGTTCAGTACGCTTTTCTTGGATGTTTGCCATGGCTAATCTTTTTAATGGCAGTGTAGCTTGTAAACCCATTTGGTAGAAAGCTCTATGTCTCAGTTTCAGAGTATCACACCGAGGAGGGTGGTAAGTAAGTTTCTCTTCAAGCATGCAAACCCTTTTGTTACAATACCAGAAATTTTATTTTAACACACATATCGGGAAAACCTCAGTATTTCCTTTATGAATTCAACAATGACCAGAATAAAATGCAAATGTCATTTTAAATACACCCTCACGTACACTGTGTAGTTAATATGCCGTCGTGGTTTAACCCCAGCCAGCAACTAAGCCCCACGCAGCCGCTTGCTCACTCCACCTCAGCAGCATCGGGGAGAGAATCGGAAGGGTAAAAGTGAGAAGACTCGTGGGTTGAGAGAAAGACAGGTAAAAGATAGGTAAAAAGAAAGGTAGGTAGGAAAGACAGGTAAAGCAAAAGCCACACGCGCAAGCAAAGCAAAGCAAGGAATTCATTCCCCACGTCCCATGGCAGGCAGGTGCTCAGCCATCCCAGGAAAGCAGGGCTCCATCACGCCTAACGGTGACTTGGGAAGACAAACGCCATCCTTGCTCTTCCTTCCCCCAGCTTTATACGCTGAGCATGACATCATATGGTCTGCAATGTCCCTTTGGTCACTGGGGCCAGCTGTCCCAGCTGGGTCCCCTCCAACTCCTTGTGCACCCCCAGTTACTCACTGGTGGGGTGAGGAGCAGAACAGCCCTTGGCTCTGTGTCAGCACTGCTCAGCAGTAACGAAAACATAGCACGTGGCAGCAGGAACGGAAACATCCCTGTGGGATCAGCACTGTTGCCAGCACAAGTCCAAAACACAGCCCCGTACTGGCTACTATGAAGAAAATTAACTCTATCTGAGCCAAAACCAGCACATACGCACCATCCTTACTGTTTGTGTTTAAAGACATTTATAGGGGACAAACTTCAATTAATTCAGGCCCAACAGTCACGAGACCTAGCCTGTCCAAACCCGCCTTTGGCTGCGTACCCATGCCATTTTGGAAATGGTCTGGGAGAACAGCGAGCCTTACAGCATGATAAGCTATCATCAAATTCAAGGTTCCATCATATTAAACTAGTGAGAATGTTTGGATAAAACAAGGAAAACTTTGGCCTCAGCCTCCTGACAGTTGAACCGGAGGCTGCTGCTTCGGGTGCTTTAGACGATTTCAGCCTGTGGGCTCACACAGGCATGCTGACTTAAAAATTTATTTTAGGCTGTTCTGTAGATTGAACACTTTCTGTTGCCTTTTAAAGGTAAGTTAGAATGCACTGGAGATCCCATAGCACTTTTATAATGATTCCACGGCGTAACTGCCTTTTAATCTGCTTCTATTCTAGATGTCTTTACAAAATAATTTACTTTCTGTTAACACAATTTCATATAAAGGTACAGAATCTTATGTAGTCGGCATCATTTTCCCTAAACCACATTTCTAGTTCTTTGGTTCTGAAGAAATCCGCTGAAAAGCCTGCTTTCTTGTCGTATCTTCCTTTCTGTCAGCCTTCGAGAATCCTTACAGGTGGGGTTTGTGTACAGCTGCAGAGATCCCAGTGCTCTGAACTCTGTTTTCTGTTAAATTATTCCTGGATAGCTCTCCTTGAGAGAATCCTGCAAAGAAACCCCTTGAGATGAACCTGGGTTTTTTTCCCCCTAGGTTTCCTTTTTCATCTCCTGCCTATTCATTTGCCATAGTCATAGCCAACAGGCTACTCTGTACTTGAGTTGTTGAACTGATTTTCATACTTTCACAGAGATCAGTACTCTGCTGTCTTTAAACACTCTCACTTGCAAAAATGCAAGGTAGCAGGTCAGAGTTTTGAAACTGTATGTGTCTTAACACGTCGCCCTAAAGTAGGATTGTAGATATGAGAAGAGAAATAGAGAAAGAGCACGTGAGAAAGAAAGGGGGAGGAGAAAAGAAAGGTAACTAAGTATTGAGAGGTGTCTATAAAAGCAGCTTTTTGCCAGTTAAATTTTTTAATTAGTGGTCATTTCAGCCAGAGGTTTCAGGCTGCTTTGCAGAAAGTGGCTGATGGTTGCAATTGTGATTTGTTTGCAGTTATCCATACAGCGAGGACTCTAGTCAGGGAAAGCAGTACATGAACACGAGATGTCCAGCCTGGTGTGACAGAATCCTGATGTCCCACTCAGCCAAGGAGCTCATTCTGAAAGTAAGTACGGACCTGCAGCCACCCCGCTGCCTCCATTGTGTTTATCTTCAACAAAGGTAGGTAGGGCTGATACACTTCTGCTTGTCCTTGAATTTTCAGTTCCCTGTAGCAAAGGCTCGCCAAGCTGGAGACAGCCTATCATGGCAGTAACGAACTGTTATGCTCCCAGTGCTCTCCACCCGAGAATGTGGATTTCTCCCAGTTAACCCATTGGCAGTTACCAAGGCAGGAGCTTTCACAAACACTTCTTTTGGTATCTGGGCTGCCAGCAGTGGCTGCCTGTCATCTCTCCCATGCTGCTTCTGTACCGGGATGTTTGTGAACCAGACTGGGGAAACTGTGCCTGCTTTAAAAAAGAATAACAAGAAATAAAAACCTCCATCAGACCCCCAGTCCAGTCCGCTATACAGTAACTAAGTCACAGTAATGCCCTTACTAAGGATTCAGCACAGATTCAGACAAAAGTAAGTAGGAGTAGCTGCTCACTCAGGATTAAAGCTATTGAAAGAAAAACCTGTATAGCAGTAGCCTGAGGTACCCGAGTTACAAGTGTGGTAGGTTCAGGTTCCCTCTGTTGCTGATGGCGAGAACTGGATTTCCCAAGAATATGTCAGGTCCCAGGTGGGCCAGATCTCCTCTCACTGTCCCCTGAATGAAGACAGAGTCTCCAGCTGGTAGGCTCCTATTAAGTGCCTAAATGTAGACATTCCATTAGAGCTTTAAAAATAAGGTTGTGCTACATTTTTAGAACGTATTAGTTCCTCTTGGTATTTTAGTGTATAGAGGTAAGGTAAACTTGGTGATGCTATTTAATCTGTCCAAGGTTAAATGACCTAAATATAGTTCAAGAGCCTTCCAATTTTCCTTTTCCCTCGTTTTCTCTCTCTCCTCCTTACTATGGTCTGCTCTCCTCCTTTCCTTGGAAACACTGAACAGGTCAGCCGGTTACGTACGCCAGCTAACACTGACTCTGTTTTTTCCCGTGTGCTTGTTCATGGCAACCGGAGACCCGTCCTGTTTACGCTGGCTATCGGTTGTTCCTAAAGGACTAAGAACACATCAGGAAATTCGTGCATGATATAAGGAGATCTCACCCATGCCTTTCTGCTCTGAGCTAAATTCCCCCTGCTCTGCTAGCCATGGCCATGAGCGCGATGCAAGAAGGGCTGTGCTGTGACTTCTCAGCACTGTTGCACTGAGGTTATCTTGCTGACCAGATGTATGACTGTCTCATACATAACAGACTTACCAAACCCAAAATTGCCCAGAGTCATGTGTCTGTCCATATTTTCTTGTATAACTAATATAGTTTAATGGGAGTGAACTGCAGAAAATAATCTTTGCAAATAAATCCATATTCTACAGCCTCATGGGTTGGTTTTTGAGGTATTTTCTGTTTAAATTAATGAAACCCTTGAAACTTGCTTTCCTGAAGTTTATAAGCTTCTGTTTCTCTCTCTCATCAGGGTTGTTTATCTCATGATTAGACTGTTTGCTTTGCAGTATGTAACTCACTGAAAGGCTGAGAACATTTTTTCCATAGCTACCCAGATTTCAGTTTGATGTACTTCCTCACACATTTAAATGTGTAAGAAGTGTCGGCATGCTATCTCGAAGTTTCGACCAAAATTTTAGACAATGCATGTACTGCAGTATTTAAAAAAAAATAATTGTGAAGCTGAGAGGAATACAGCCTTCACAGTATAATAGTAATGTCAAAATCAATGTTATTTGATCTTATACAAAATATCATACGAAAAAGTGAGACTTTACCAAAAATATTACAGATAGTACTTGGCACCCATGAAATTCCTAAAGAACAAAGGATTAAAACCGTGGAAAGAGT